CACATAGACGGAGGGATTGAGACGTTTTGTTTACCATTCTCGCAGATTCCATTTTGCCTATACAACTTGTATACATCAGTACATAAGACTTTGCAGAATTACAGGGTTACTAATGATGTCCATATTTCCAGCTGGTGGTTGATGCTGTTGGGGATTATAATATTAGTGCAGTCAGAATAACAGTTGATTGTAAGGAAATGCAAGGAATTTAGAGAATGCGTAAAATGAGTATGCTTTAACGCAAATAAGAGGGCGCCAAAATTGGCTTGATCAATTTGTTGCGGCCTAAACACAGCAGTCATCAGGAGACTAGCGACAAAGAGACACGTAATGTGAGGGTGGTATGCCGGGAGGCCATGAGTGAGGGGAAATGGACTTTGGGATGACGTAAATAGTGTGGCTGAGGCATATTGAAAATAACAGATGACAGTTCGACTTATAAGTGGTGAGCGTTGCAACTGAGGGCTGACTTGGAAGAATTGTGTTTGTAGCCCAAGCTGCAAGTCAAAATGAGAACGAAACTCGTCCTTGGAAGGAGAAAGAACGAAGGAAACGCAGTTTTAACTTGGTGGTTCCGAGGGGCATGAACGGTTCTTGGTTGGGCTGATTGCAGAAGACAGAGTATTTGTGGTGCACCGGACCGTATAATATATAGTGAAGTGTATAGTTTAGTATATAATAAGTAAATTTTTCATAAAATCTGGCGATTAAGCACTGAGGTAACCTTTACCATGGAGCTCGAACGTAGTTTACGTGTATCAAGGCGATCTCGTTTGAGCGAGCTGGTAGGGAACATGCAAAGGCGGGCAATCAATGTGGGTATCAACCAGGGTATTGCTATCGGAGCGTCAAAATTTGGTTCGTGAGTGGTCCCGGGTCTCTGTGAAAACAGTTTGGGTTATCTAATATGTCTCGGGTACTCAAGATTAACCACGGAGTTTTAAAGATTGAGGCTAGTATGAAACTGGGCGTTCTTTTGCCGACTGACGGCGCTGCGTTGGAGAAGTGTAGCATGGCTCCTACATAGACGGGGCGATGTGGCTAGAGTGAAAGTGAAAAAAGGGAAAAATGTAAAGGCAGCAAGGTAAAGCTAGGATGGGCAGCTGGGCTTTTGAAGGAAATAGTAGAAAATAGGGAGTGGATATTGTCGCCTACCACATTAGTGGACTGAGAGTACCGAATATCAACTGAACGCGGGGCTCATACATTTGCGTACCAGGCCGTAATATAGAAAAAGCGAGTCAGGAAGAAGTCAGAAACCTCAAATGTGACCGTAATTCAGGAGATGGACGGTTGCCCAGCCACGTGCAGAAATCTTTTTGGTTGGAAGTCATCCACTGTAGACAGTGTAAGACGGCGAGCGGGCAATTTTAGAGAAACCAGAGGACTGATATATATTTGGCGGCGGCCTTACTGGAAGAGTTTGGTTGACTCAGTTTCCCTGTCTTCACTTTACCTGCCAGGAAGGGGAGTAATGGGATCTGCCGCTGCCTCCACATCTGGATTTGACATGAGAGCTTGCCTGCAGCTTCATAAGAGAAAACTACGTGACTGCACGTCTTCGAACACCAGATTTCGGTAAATCCACCAGGATAGTTGGGCTGGTCTAGTTGTACCTGCTTCAGGATTGTTTATAAGAAGAAAAACTGAAGCCAGAAGCCATAAAGGGTTAACGTGTCCCCGTGCGGACTGTATTTAAATTGATACCCAATATGAACTCCGTGATGTCAGTCAGCAGAAGGACTTAATGACAGTCATGTCCGCGGAAGTGCCGGGGTAGAATAATGATCAGAATTGTACAAATTGGTCTACAGTACAAAAGCAATAGCCCTTATAATGTGAAACGTGCGAACAAAACCTTAAAATTATTCAGCCATTGAGCTAGCTTCGATCATTTGATTGCTCACCCCAGTTCCTTTGGAGTCATATCTCTCATGAATAATATCGACGTCCCAGGAGACTGGCTTTACAAAATTGTGAGAATTAAGTTTTGTACGTATATCGGTATAACCAGATGAACTAGAAATCCAGAATTCAGCGAAGCGTAACAACCAGCACGTATGTATTCGAATTGGCGAATGTGTACAGCATATGGAAAAATAAAACAAAAGAATAATGAATAGAGCAATGAATAGAGTATCAGCCATGTTCATCACATCCGCCACACTTGAATAAGCTTATGGATGTTTATAGTCCAGTGGTGGT